TTCTTTTGTAATAATAATGTAATATATACATGGTGAATTAATCCTCCTTGAATATATTATGTATTATCTATATCTGTGGTTTCACGAGAGAACGAGCCGTAGGTAAACCGTATGTACAGTGTATGTAGACTATGTAGTACGATACTTGTGGAATGGTAACACTGAAAAAAAAGTCGATCCCCATTTTGGTTCTGTCAACCAATACAAAGAACGCACGTTTATATTACTGTATGCAAGTGTGTGTGCTGAGTGCTAGCGTCCACGCAAAACGAATTTATTTGTGTCAATTAAGTGTCAAATTCGACGTGCTATAATTTTATTGTGGACTTCTGTGAATCATCATGGTTATCGCAGAGACGTTTGCTTAGACAAGTTTTCATGAAAAACCTCCACCAACAGTGCTCTACGTCATCGTGTTGAGTATTTGCATATTCGCCGTGTTCGACTTTATAAATATTAATATAATTTTCATCATCGCTTAAAATAGTCCATAAATCCGATCAACAGACACGTGCAACGGTAAGTCAAATCGTCATCTCCGAATATTAGATACCGTCGTAGTATAACACTTCCATTAAGACGTCCATTTTTTCCCTTCCAATCTAAGGTGGTTTGGAATTCCAGGTCATACTTACCTAAATAAAATGTTCAATAATATTTTATAAGGTGTTAAGAAACCATATCGTTATTTTATGATGATATCCTGGACACCGTAACGGGGAAGGAGTAACGTACATTACCCTAACCCTACTCATTTATAATTTTGAAAAATTTTCTATGAACATATTGAGTATGTAATTTTTATGATTTCGTATGACGATTTTTTAAAATTTGTATGAGCTTGGATTTCTCGTTATTGCAAAACACAGTGGGTGGGGTTGGAGTAATGTGATTCCAGTCCCACTCATGGTTCAAAATTATGGGTTTGACTACACTCTATTTAAATACTAAGTTTGTATGAATTTGTACGATTGACTTTGAAATGTGTATACTATAATATAATATTTGTAAAAACTTGCCATGACCAGAATTTAACAGTGAAATAGTTAGATTTGACACGCAATCTACTATTTAGGTATTTCTCATTTTTTATGTTCATGTAACTATTTATGTACAAAATATGAAAATATTATTTGGGGATTGGGGATATAGAAATGTAAATAAACGTTTCTTTGAATTATTACGCTTTAATAATTAAAAAAAAGTTTGGAAAATAGAATACATAAAGTTATTTAATTTTTATCTGTAAGTAACGATAAACCTTTACTGATGAAAAACAATTCTGAGCGAAATCCGTAAATACATGTTTTGATAATCGTAATATTTAATATTATTTCAAAATTTGATATTAAAATAATTATAAAACATTAGGTACTATATAACATTACTTTTTTTTTTGACTACTAAGTGCAACGTATATTGAATTTCCTATTAAATTCTCATACATTTCCATTTTTCAAACATTTATATCCACATAGTATTTATTAAATAAAACTATGGAAAAACATATAAACATAAAAATGCCTATAAATAGCTCAAAAATCACCTAATGTTTTAGTGATTTCTGATTAAAGTAATATATCTAATATAAAACATAGTGTATACAAATATTAAAAAAAATTAAATCGGTAATTGCTCAGTACGCTGTAAATATTTATCGTTTTTCCAATAATTTTTTTTCCGATTTTGACCAGTTATAATGAAAACTCCTTGGAAAATCAAAAAATGACTTTCCAAGGTACCAATTAGATTTCCTTTCAGAAATTGTGCTACACTTCGAAAGAAGTTTTCTGTTCAAAAAATTGCTCATAAAAACAAAAAATGATAATGCTGTATGGTTCCGGTGGTAGATAGTAAAAGGAATGAAAAAACTCGTATAAAAACATAAGAGATAGCATTAGAATTGTGTTCGATAGTAGACAAAATGCGGGAAAATAGAATGAGATGGTGACGGCAAGAGAAGAATCAAAGCAGTAAGAATTGTAATGAAAATAAACGTAGGGGAAAAAGGGTAGAGAGGAAAACCAAAAAAAAAGGTGGTTGGATTTGATTGAGAATCAGTATATGAGGTAATCAGTGTATGCGAGGTGGAAGATTGAGTGACTTTGAAGTTTAGAACAAGGAGGGCCGACTATAAATAGTGGAAATGAAGGCAAAGCAGAAGAAGATAAATTAATTTTAATGTTCGTGGACAACAGTGTGCAGATTAGACTACTATTATAGTAGACGAATATATTAATAACATATTATAACCATACCAATATTATAAATTATGATTGGTTAATTATTTTGGATCACTAATATATCAGAAATTTAATTTTAGATGCAAACTCAACGATCTTCTGGTTCACTTAGATCACCTGGTCCGAGGCGTTTTATTTTGGGTTATCATGTCACAACCATCACAATGTTTTTTGGATTATTCAATTTGGTATAAATACAAATAATCATATTATGTAGAATATTAATATTGTGTTATATTAATACAAGTATACATATATATATATATATATATTAATAATTACTATTTAAATTTAATTGTTTTACAGGTTCTAAAATTAATGTTTTTCATGATTAGAAAGTACGATCTTCTGCAAAGTGTAAAATCTGGAAACAAATTATATTTTTCAATTGACAACGACTATTTCGTAGTTTTGAGCATGTTATCATGTTGGGATTTTCTGTATATTATTCCTGGTAATCCTACAGGTTCGTATATTAATGTTTTCACATTATTTTTATTTTTATTTTTTTTCATCACACGTATTTAAAATAATTATACCTTTATTAAAGTCATATATACCTAATAATAATACAAATTTAAGAATTAAGAAGTATAAAACGCAGGTACCTGAGTATAGAGCGGACAAAAGACGTACCGCATACACAGTGTATGTACATTATATGTTGCAGTGCAAACACATCAATCGCGTTTAAGGAATTTAAAAAGGATATATAGACTAATTTAGTTTATAAACTGAAAGCATCGATAAATCACTACAATGTTGCTACTATCTGGGGCTGGCCACTCTCGTCCTAATCTTCCACTTGACCCGATCTCCCATCTCACATACACCGGCTGTCTTCATATCATTCATAACCACATTAAACCATTCCTTTTTAGTCGTAATCCCCTTCTTTCCTCTTTTGTTTATTTCATTACAATAATTACTAATTAAGATTTTTCTCTCCTCATACCATGCACAAACCAACAACTTAAGTTTTTAATAATACAAATTATATTATGCATTTTTAGGTCATTTAAAAATTCCAGTATTTTTATTACTTTGCACATCACTTATCACTCTTGCTATGTATTGTGGTGTTCTTTATAAAAATCAAAGGATGTTATTACCATTAATTTGTTCTCAATTAATTGAAATATTATTGGATTTGTAAGTAAAAAACTGATTTAATAAAATTATTATTATATTCATAAATGATAAATTATTTTACTTTTTAGAGTGTCATATTGGAAATTACAACATCACCTGCCATATATTAATTTTGAGATTTATCAATTTATATGTCCTGTTCTTTGGAAGGTTTGAATATTAATGTTCATAAATTATTTTAATTTTAGTTATTTAACATATGTGCCCAAAATAATTGTAACTTTATGAAATCATTATAAGTATATAAAATAAAATACAAAATATATAGCTACTTAAAACAAAAAACTCGAATTTCTATTTCGAAAATATATTAGGTAATAATTAAAAAAGTAAAAACTATTTTTAGTTAACTAATATTTTTAATATGTATGAAACTTAGAAGTAAAGAATGCTAGTATAAGTATAAAGAGAAAAATGCATTACTATATGCTTATTTTTAATTGAAATATAACAATCAACAATAAAATAAATTAAAAAATAACTTAAACAGCAGAATCGCTACTGATTATCAAGATTTCTGGTAAAAGTCTTAACTCTTAACAGGCAAAGCAAGTTCTATAACCGGAACGAGTTTTAAAATACTCTCAACTAGATAATATTTTTTAGAAGTGATTTCATTCTATATAATAATAAATTCTTGTGTATTCTTGTAGACAACACTGCTTACCACTCTCTTCTACTTTACCTTGGTCCGTGACCAACTTTATCTGTTCTATAAGGATTTATAACTTTGTCTGAAGAAGTTATAAACATAAATTCAATTAAAATTGATTATAAATTTATAACCTATTTTATTACTGCTATATAATTAATAAAATAACCAACATTATCTACTTAAACATTAATTATTAACATGTTATATCAATAATATTTATTAGTTACTTACTATATAGAGTGGTTTCTCTAGTAGTGCTCCCCTCATTTTTTTGGTTAAATTTTCAATTTAATAAAATTCTGATTGTTGAAATTTTATTTAAAGGCAATATTTTCGGATACTTTGATTTTTCACAACATTTAAAGAGTATCCTGTGGCAATACCAACTTTGGTTTTTCAAATGAGAACCTATATTAAAAATTCTATTTAAAACTTAAAAATGAAATATCTCATCAATGGGTTGACAGAAATCTAAAAGTTTAACACTAAAATTTATTTAAAGTAATTCTCCATCTATTTATGGAATTTTTAATATAGGTACTTAAATTCTTATTTGGTAAACCAAAGCTGATATTGTCACAGGAAACTAATTAAATGTCTTGAAAAGTCTAAGTATTCGAAAATATCGGCTTCAACTACACTTAAAAATTCCAAAAATCAGAATTTAAATAAATGAAAAATATAACCAAAAAAATGGGGAGAACAAGCTCAGTGAATTACTCTGTATATATTAATACAATAACCCTTAATATTATTTTTAGGCAATTAAAAAAGATTACCTACATCACTAAATACTATTCAATTTTAATTTAATTTAATGATGCATATAATACATAGTTCGTTATTTATATGTTCCAGGGATATTTTGTTATTGTCATTTGGAAATGTTACAATTATCTGATGTTTATGGAACGAGATTCAGGTGTACCGATTAGACCACCTGTAGAATCAGACGATTTATTATATTCTCAACCACAAGATGCTTTAGATTCATTAAGGTGTATTATCTCCCTCGATGCTGATTATGATGATGATGATGATGATGATGATGATGATAATGATGATAATGATTATGATGATGATGATGATGACAATGATGATAATGACGATGATTATAATGATGAAGACGTAATCTCTCCACCATAGAATTATATATTTGAATACCTACTTTAACTTAGTATTATTATTTATAAATATAATATAGAATAGTTCTGATTTTAATTAAGTACCTACCTTACTTCATTAATACTTTCTCAATTTTAATAACATTTTTGGTCTAATTATTAAAACCTGAAGAATACTGGGCTTCATTGAGTATTCTTGTGTAGAGGCCCAGTTTTTATTATATTAACAAGCATTTAATTATAAAAATGACAATATAGAGAATTATATAATGTAGAGAAAATTATGTATCTAGTGAAAACATTAAATTAAAAGTTCAAAAGCATTATGCATATATTCACGGTTAAGGGTTATCAATAGATAGTATGAAACAATACTACGAAAATTGGTTTTCATATTTCCGATAACATGGTTTACTAAGCAGTTTAGAGTAAAAAACCTATCAGTATTGTAGAAGGCAAGTTTATTTGTGTCTGTATAAGACCCTATTTTCGATAATTTAATTTATATGTTCAATAATTAAAATGCGAATTGTAAAATATCAAGTTGAAAAAAATACATCGAAAATCGACTAATATGTAGATCTAGATAAACTTCTTCACAACAATTTAGGTAATAAATGTTTATACATTAATTGTATTCAATTAGCAATTTTTTGGAAAAATAAAACTAAGTTTTACTGTAAACACAGTTGTATTATTTGTAGTTATTAAATTGTTATTTTACTTGCTCCTGCGAGTGTGTGTTAAACCCCCGCGTAACAGCATCGCCAAACAGCTGATGTTTTTATTTTACGGTGACCGTAAAGTATAGATAAAGATATTATTAATAGCATAGAAACACATTTTATGAACGGTAAATAAATCGTAAAAGTATATATTTGTAATTATATATTAATGATGTGTTAATGACACTAATGCGCGTTCTAAAAATATTTGTTTAATAATTTTCATGTGGTTGTGAGTAATATTGTAGTCTGGGGATTTTTTTTTCGGGACTCATCGTCGGGGGTTTTTTCAGGGATTTCTTAACCTAAGATTTTCATTCCGATTACCCACAAAGAGACACTAAAAAGCGGCCACAAAGGTTCTTATCAAAAATAAGAAAATCGTCTTGCCTTGTGGTGCCAACTAGTTAAAATTACCAAAACTATTATAAAATCAATACCTATAGTATATTATTATTATGATTGCGACAGTAATCTGTTAATTAATTAATAGTTTCACCGGGAGCGCTAAAATTTAGGGCATTAACGTTAAACCAATTTCTGTTACACGAATTAGTAAGCCTGAGGATAGACCCCGTCTCTTAAAATTCAGTTGAATGCCGCCTTTGATGTTTCCGTATGTTGGGTACATCTCGCTTACTTAAAGTCGATCAAGCATTTAATGATGTAAGAATCATCAGCGATAAAACGCTTAAATAACGTCAATACTTCCGTGGACTACATAATCAACTAAAGGAACGCACCTTCAATGGGGAAATGTCTGTCAATCAAATATATAAAGGGCCAACTAACAATCGTTTCCTCGTCCAATTCAAGAAACTAATTTAGAGATCTCATGTACCTATAAATGGCTTCTACCAGAATTGTCGTGGACTTCAGACGAAGCTTACGAATTTTGCATGTAATGTGTGTAATATTGCATGTAATCATGCATTTTTTGTCTTAACTGAAACATGGTTAATTGACTTTAAAAATAGTTGTGAATTAGGTCTATTTAACTATAATATTTTTGTATATTTGGTAGTATTTACTTCCCCCTAAAGGCCATGCGTGTATCTATAAAAGCTATATCTATATGTCTTCTGTTGAATTTAGTGTTTACCAACAGTAAAATAATTACTGTTGAATTATCACTCGAACCTCTTGTTCAGCGTAATCCGTACCACCCTCCAATCCACTTCACATATCTTTCATATCCTAGTTCTTCAACTTCTGTTAGTACTCACTATTTACATAACTTCTCTAAAGCTTATTATCTCAAAATTAATTATTTTCTTGCCTCCTTTGATTGGATATCAAATATCTCTCGTCTTGATATTAACAATGTTTCTTCCTCTTTTATGAACGATATATATATCTCCGTCTTTTGTTTTGTCCCTTATAATCGATTTATTGCATCTAGTTTCCTTTTTTGGTTCTTCAAAGAGCTAAAAGATTTACTTTACCTAAACAACAAAGCTCATGCAAAATTCAAATTTACCACTGATTCTATTGATTATACTTTTTTTTCTCTTCTTCGTGCTAAATGTAACTATTGTTCAAAAAGAAGTTATAGATTTAAAAACTGAAAATGTTCTATCCCAGGAACCAAAAATATTTTTGGACTATGTGCGCAAAATTCGCTCCTCAAATAGCGTTTCCAAAGTCATCACCTTGAATGGTAAAGAAAGTACTAGCGAACAAAAAATGGTTAATTTTGTTGCGTCGCATTTCGGCTCGGTTTATTCTTCCAAGATCCCTATTACCTATTACCTAAAGATCTCTTTTCATGACTTACCTAACAACTGTTATTTATTTTAGACTTCATGTTTTTTTTTTAAACCGGCATCTTTATGTGGTGTAAAATCTATTGGTCCTGATGGCGTACATGGTAAACTACTTTTAAATAATGAAGTGTAATTTACTTTTCTCTTTGTATCCTTTTTCGTCGATTGCTTGATGAATGCTGTTTTTCAGATGTTTGGAAAATTAATTCTATTACACCTATCTTAAAAGCCTCTAACCCTTCTGATGTTAAGAACTATGGCCATCCTTTCTCACATTACCAAAATTTTTGAGCCACTTATTCTTGATTCCATTTAGCCGGCAGTTAACTCCATTCTTATGAACGAGCAGCATAGTTTTCGTTCGGCCGCTCGACTATTACATGCAACCTAATTTTAATCTTTTCTCTATTTATAAATAGTGCTCGCACGTTGCTTTAAAGCTAAAACATTTTATGTTTTGTCGATGATATGAAACTTTATTCCAGAATTAAGTCGCTTGATGACTGTTTACGGCTTCAGGATGATCTTGCCAGTTTCTTATTATGGGTTAATACACTTGGTTTAGAGTTTAATTTATCTAAATACTATAAAATTACCTTCAATAGATGTCAATTCCCAATTTTGTTTCGTTATAAATTGATCAATGGCACAATACTCCATTCTACGGGTTAAACCCTTCATGACCTTGGTTTCACATTTGCATTTGCTCCTTTTTTTAATCTCAAAACGCATATCAATATGATAAATTGTAAGTCCTTTAAATTGCTAGGCTTTATTAAAAGAATGGCTTCTGAATTAAAGCTTTCTAGTTTGATCAAGTCACTATATTATACTACGCGCTTGTCAGACCGATACTCGAATATGGCTTGGTTGTCTCGGATTCATGGACAGCCGCCGATAGGTACATATGTACATATTGGAAGGTGTCCAGTGAAAATTATTATCTTTTGAAAGCTATAAGTAAAATGTTACCTGTCCTCTCCTTGATTATAGTCCTTTCCTCCTTAAGCACAATATTATATACTTAGTAGATCTTAGAAACGCTCTTAACGTTGTATTCCTCCAAACTTTTTTCTGGAGTTGTCGATTCTTACACCCTCTTCTCTCTCATTAACTATAAAATACCAGCCCGAAGTACTTGCAATTCAAACCCATTTTTGATCCTTGTTTATACCGCCAACTATCTCAGTAATAAGCCTATAAGCCACATTACAAAGTTTCTCAATGATGACCCCTCATTTAATTTGGTTTTTTAATTTGAATTGATTTAATTTTATGTGTATAGCTTATTTCATTTGTCTTAATATTTTTATATTTTCTTACATTATTATTATATTGTACTAATTCATACTAATTATATTTTACTAACACATTACTAACATACTTTATTCATGTACAATTGTTCTGCTTAGATCATTGTTGGGTGTAAACCTGTATATATATATATTATAAATATAAGTTGTGATTATGAAAATCAAAAGGACTTTAATATCAACCAATGACAGTATAATAGCTGTATTATCATTTGATGAAGTAGTTATTCATCTCTAATCAAATTAACATTGATTTAAAAACACAATTGATTGGCCCTCATAGTAAAGCACAAATTATTTTTGTTAGGGAATTGTTCACTAACTGGAAACGACCAGTGTATTATTATATTGCTAAGCATATGATTAGATATTTTATTTGAAGCTATAGCTAAACTTTATCGTTTATTATTTTCACTGTGGTAAGTGATTTGGGTCCAACTAACAGAAGATTACCCAACCAATAATAGAAGTTTCTGCTAAAAATCCTTCATTTTCCAACTTTTCTGTGTGATAGAAATGATTTTGTTTTTGTGGTGTACCTCATTTAGTGAATCTAATTAGAAATCATTATATTAATATTAAACATGGATTTATTTTGACAGATGGACTTGTTGTAAAAAAAAGACCATTAGAAAAATTCATGGCTATATGATCTGAATATATTTGAAATCTGGTTGTAAATTAAATTAATTTCTTTTGAAAAAAGGAATAAAACACAAGTATTTTACGGGCTGAAGACTCTGGTTTACTTGAAAGTTGTGAGTACAAAATAACTTTAAAATTTATCAATCTCATTAATTCAAGGTATGATATTTTCTATTATAGTTCCTAGTTTTACAAACCTTTATGAAAACTCAAAACAAAACATGTTTTATACAAGTATACAGTTAAACAAATATTTCAGTGTTTTAATATTAAAATTGAATTCTCTATTCATAAAAAAATTAAAAAACTCTATTTTAGAATGAGAGAATAGGTTTTATATTTGTGTTTAAATGTTCTAAAAAATTCAAAGTAAATAAAACTAAATAAATATGGATTATTGATGATTTTTTCCCAAATCAGTTTTTTTATGTAAGCATTTTTCAAGTAAATGATACAATCATTAAGTATTAAGTAATCTAAGTAATGTTCACAAATCAATAAACATATTAAATTATTTATACAAATTAAAATTTTTTTTATCTGATTATTTATGCATGATATAAAAATAATGCATAAATGTTTATTAAGTAGAAAAAAAAATTATATAATGTGTTTATCATGTTCAAATGAAATTGTATGTTTAATATACATATTAAAATGGTGTTGATGAGATCTTGGACTCAGCATCTCTTATAGAAATTTTGTCAAAAAAAAAATTATCAATGTAATATAAGATTTGTTTTGCTGAGGGACGTTTTAGATAATCTTGTATTGTGCACATTTGGTAGAGATTAATTATTTGTTTGTAGTTTGGATCCACAATCAAGCTGGCAGGTATTGGCGGACTTTCGCCTGTAAAAATAATTAATAATTTATAATATAATAATTTATCGTGATCAAAATCAGAAATTTAATAGTGAGAAATTAATATATTATGCAGAAAGCATTTTAGAAACTAATTTCATAGAATTATTTTCAAGGTAACAAAAATCTGAAATAACACCATTAAAAAAACTGATGATACTGATGGATGTTATAGGTCCGAAGTTTTGAAGGGAAATAAAGTTATTTAGTTAATATCTGTATGCATCATAAGTGATGACTGATGAATTATTATTCTGAAAGAAGTTCAAGTAATCACGTTTTGAAATTATGAAATTTTTAAAATTTTTTTCAAACTTTAAACTCAAATCACTTATATACAGAGTGATTCATTCAACTAGAAACACTCATTATCTCGGAAAGTATTGGCTTTTTTTGAAATTTTTTTATTTGAAAACTTAAAAATCAAATAGTTCTAAAATGGTACGTAATCAGTTTTTTTGTACCTCTTATTTTTGAAATGATTGCCTATTTTTGATTTTCAAATGGTGACCAATTTTGAAAATGATTTGAATTGATGGAGTATTATTTAAAATAAATTTTGGTATTGAAATTTTCGATTTCTATCAACTTGTTGACAAGATATTTCACTTTTAAGTTTGGGTTGGAGGAGAGTAATGGAGTATTATTTGTGTGGCGGTACGGGGCGCGGCATATTAATAATGCATCACAATATATGTATATGTATATAAAAAAAAAATAAAATAAAATTATGATTGATTTTTTTTTTATTATTAAATACAACTTATAATGAACTTTATGTAAAATATTCAAAAATTTCTGTTTGACTAAACAATGTTACTCACGTAACACTTCCCAGTATTTACCAATTATGAAAATTACTTGAAAAATCAAATGTGTTTTTTAATACACAAAATATATTTTTAATGATAATTAAATTTACAACATTTAAGACAAATAATTATTTAAATTAGTTTTGTTTCTATAAAATATGTAGGTTTTTGCACATGGGAGGCTTATAATATAATAAAAGTTAGATATTAAAATTACCTAAATGAGCATCTAGGTCGTCACTAATGCCAGTATAATATGATTCATCAATTGCTGTGCTTGTATTTGGTACAGATAATGTCATCATTTCCCAGAATACCAAACCATAGCTGAATATATCTGCTTTGCTTGTAATGATTGCACCCAAACATTCATCACCTTTTAATACTTCTGGAGCTGACCAACAAGGAGTACCAACATACATAGCTTTATGGCCTTTAACTCTGTGTAAAGTTCCATCGGTTTTTAAAGGTAAACTTACACCAAAATCACAAAGCTTTACAATTTCAAAATTATCTGTTCAATAAACAATACAAATTTAATTTTTTAAATAAAATTATGAAAAATAACTTCTTGAATGTTTATTTTTTAAAATTGATATAATTATAACGCGCTTACTTTTTACTAAAATATTCCCTGATTTTATGTCCCCATGCAATACCAAAGAAGTATGTAAATAATCTAAAGCGTTGGCAATATCTACAGCTACTTTTTCAATATATTTATTAGGGAATGGTCCGAGGCATTGGTCCACGCGTAACTCGATTAAATCACACAAACTTTGTTCACACTGTTCCATTAACAATATCTAAAAGCCGATTATTTTCCAAAAGCATATTAAAATAAAGTCAATGATACAGAAACTATAACATACTTCTCGGCCATCAGGTCTTTTGACAAAAGCCCTGTAACCAATTACATTGGGGTGATTAAGTGACGACAACACTTTGGCTTCCAGTTGCAAACGATTGCTGTACTGTTTGCGATCTCTACCGGCGTGACGACTGATAATTTTTGCAGCCCACGGAGACTTTTCATCTCTGTTCAAGTTAAACACACCGACACCTAAGTCAAGGGTTAGCAGAGGTAGGAATCAAATGATTAGGTACCTATGAATTATTTAAATTTTATTTACCTGTTCCATAACCAATTCGTTCCAAAGCAGGAGTTTCTGGTAATTTTGCTGTAGAGCGCAATACTTTAGGAGTCAACATAGGACTATCCATCTGGCTTTTAATTTTGTTTTATTCTTGAATTATAGCAATTTTTAATGAGAAAAATAAATCTCAAAAATTAAATAAATGTACAGTAGGTTAAACAATTTTATTAAATTTAAATAACTTTTGTTAATATTCAATAATGTTATGTCAAATTCACATCAAGCAAGTAGCCGTTAACAGACGCACGAATGCGGGACGCACAGAATATTCTCTAGACCAAGTGATACGAAAAACGTTATTTTAAAATTTGTTAAGGGAACGTGCCAGTGATAAGCAGTTGTTACTATTTATCCAGTATAATCAAACGAATTTCTAGATTAATTGGCAATTGATAATTGATAACATTATATGAGGTTATTATCACAGATATACAAAATAACAAACTAGATAGCCCACTATTATAGTCTATACCTTAGATCATATACTATAGATAAAACAAAATTTATATCACACGTAATTGATTGAATTCACGTAATCACGTGTGATATACCTACCATCACTAAATGGTGGTATAATAATGATTATACGAATATATGAAAAATATGCGACGAGTACTGATACGCATGCACAACAGACATCAGTCCCCTTAGCACTCGTTAATAATGTCTTCAACTGATAGTACGCGTTTATCATACACTAGCTTGCTCTATCCATAGTATCTATACGACCTAACGTCTATACGTATAAAATAACGTCGCCAATAAAATGGCCGCCAATTGTTATCTAAGAGGTGAATGATTACAAATTAAACTGATATGATAAGTGACAAGATACTATTTTGGAACTTTATTCTACTGTGTACAATGTACATAATATTTAATCCTTTATAGAGCATGGGAATTGTCACATAACATGTTATGACATTGTTCCTTATCAATACTATAGAACAAAAACATTCACCTCTTAGATAAGGAAAGCGGCCATTTTTTTGGTAACAATAACTAGAAATTCGTTGGTACAAACCGGTGTACCATGTTGATTTCGATTTATTATACCGGTATGCGAAAACGGAATGGTACAATACACACTGGTACGTAGAAAGAAGATCGGTTAAAATATTGATGCCGATTCGTTCATACTGGTATACCGAATCGTGGTATGGATTTTACAAGAAATTCGTTGACTTGTAGTTGGTGAAAAATATTATTATCCCCTCTATAGTCCATAGTTATTTATAATCACACAGTACACTTTTTTATGTTATCACAGTTTTTTCTAAATAATACAAACATTAGTGAATTTTTTCCGAATGATTCTTGTAATATTAGAATGCTGAATGATAAAGTTTAACAACAGTACAATTTGGATTATTACTATAATTCGCGTGACCACTGAAATAAAAATAAGTAGTGCGGAGCCGCCAAAAAAAAAAAATGATAAGGTTGGACGAATTTCAGAAGAAATCAGACAAAAAGATAATAGAAAACGAATCGGTTTAACGAACCATATCGTCAATTTGGTCCGAAATAATATCATTGTCAATTTTTTACACACCGGTATATCCGAAAAAATTTCTCCGATTCACACTGGTTTGTACTAACGAAATTCTATTAATAATACCAAAGTGGGTTATCTAGTTGTTTTATATATCTTGTGGTTATTATATTATAAAAGTTCAATGGCCATTTAATCAATGCAATGGCGTAGTAAGACAAAGTAATCTGACAAATCATTGACATATTAAACATAATATTAATAGTTAATATGTCTACGTGACAAATAACTACCTGACATAAAACCATGCGATCATAATCCACAGATCAAAATCCGACTAAACACCACTCGTCCAAAAACTACCATACAATATAATATTTTAGGAATTTATATCATAAACATATTTAATGATAAATTACGATAATTTAAATCGTCATAAAGCCACTCAACAACACACAACTCTACCAACTTAATCAATTATATTTTTCGGTAAGGTTAGGTTAGGTTAGGCTATTGAAATTAATAATTATTATCAAAATCAAATGCACTATGCTTATAATGTTTATGTATCAATGACAATGTTATGAATTCACGACATAGTATGGCATTTCATTTTTTAAACTTCATTCTATGTCGTTTTTGCAAGTTATATATTTTTTTTTTCTTGTAAAATACTGTTTTCATGTAAAAAGTATAGAAAAAAAATACTTATGGAGAACACAATTATTCTATACAAAAATTATAATTTTTTTATTGTATATGATCCAAGGTTTTATCAACGACATGGTTTTCATGATAACTGAATAAAGATAACATTTTACGTGTCCAAGTTGATGTAAACAGTGTAGTATTTAGTCATTTAGTGCATAGAATAAAAATTACTGGTTTAGTGATTAGATAAGTCGGCTAGATCATATGATAAATTAATCATATTATTATATTAAATACTAATGTATAGTTTAATTAAGTACTAGTACTCTTTAGTATGTATAATGTTATGATCTAAGAATTTAATGTTTACTAAACCTTGCGAATAATCTTTAATTAGTCATGCTCGGATAGTATTGAATTATAGACTCTATAATTCTGGTGTTAATGGACCAAGACTACTACACCACTTGTAAAATTACCAAAATATCAAAAAGTTTAACCAATTAATACATCAAAAACTACCCAACTTTGAAATCAACTAATGTGAACATTTTCCTATCTTCACTAGTACATTGCACAAAGAACATAACGGATTATGTATTATTATTGTACTATTATTTGAATGTTAATGTACCTCTTATTGTTTTATTATTTAAAAGGCACAATAATGCAAGTCCAAATGTCAAAATCAAATCAGAAATGTAAATATTAAAGTACTGATAATCGGATAGGTCTACCTAGTTTATTGGCAACAGCATTCAAATTTTAATCATGTACTTTTTGAATAATTTCAATAACACATTGCGGGTGTTTTTCCATGCCCATGCAGCACTAGACATTAACATTAAATTGCCAACAACCAAACAACGCACAAGCAGTGACATCCGTTTCTATTTGGGTAAAGTAAGTGTGTTCGTTAACTTGTTTGATCCAAAACTTAATTTTTCTCTATTTTTCAAATTAGGTAATATATTGTTAGAACCTGTTAATATTTTTTTTCTTTAGGATTTCCAAAATCTTGTCGAAAAGCTAATGGAGAACCTAAAAGTAATTGAACGTTGTTTGTGCTCCTCAGACTCTATGTTAATTTGGTTAAAAAAAGAAATATGGACATTTACAGTCATCAAAGAGATATTAGATTCTGGCTATAAATATGGTAGCAGCGAGGAACACAATAATATTGTAATGATCTTTCTGCATGATTTAAAAGCTACGGTATATTTTTAAATTTTAACTATTAATAATTACAGGTCATATCAGTAAACACAGATACATGTAATAATTTGATTACACACTTGCGCATTGAATTGTTAAAAGATGCAGTTCAAAATTTGGCTAAACTTAATGGTTGTGTTGTAGGAAGTGATGGAATCTCTCTATTGGTATCGTCAAAAAGTAATCTGAACACCTCTAATCTTTTATTATTGTGTGGCAATGTTGCATGCAATATGACAGCCAAGGAATATAAACAGTAAATATTAAGCAATTTTAATAATAATTTATTTTAGATTACAATATTGAATTGCAATTTTAGACAAAAAAAAGATGCTATTAGTAAAATGTCTGCCAATCGTATTGGATCAAATGATTATCCAACTGATATTATATCAAAATTATGCCATACATCAATTGTTTATGAGTTATTGAGTGTACGCCATAATAAAGTTGTTAATATAGAATTTAATAAATCAAATAAAGATAGTGAGTTAAAATAATAAATAGGTATATGTGTAGCATATTAAAACAATATAATAATATTATTAGTTATTAATTTAATATAACCATTTTTATTTTCAGATGGTATTTTTATTATGTATAATTACTCAAGATTGTATCAGGTATGGACAGCATACGAAAAAGGTGTAATTGAAAATCGCTATGCATCTTTGCCAAACTTTGACTCCATTAATTTTGGACTGTTGAATAGTGAAGTGAGTACGGTAGTTTTAAAAAGTATAATTAATGATTGCATATGATTATTTAGGAAGAATGGATTTTGATTCTTAACCATTTATCAGCTTATCCATCAGTTATTCAAGAATCTGTTAAATATTTATTGTCAGGCAGTGTTGATGTTCATAGACTGTGCAAGTTTTTGTTGGACATGTCATCTGCTGTTAGTTTATTTTATCATAGGAAACATATTTTAACAGTAAGTAGTATTATTTTGCTTTAAAATGTTGAAATGTTTAAACAAATATAATTTATAATATATTATACAAATCTTTATTTATCTTGCCACTAAATGAACATACATTTTTAAATATATTAAAACATGAAACATTACAAGTGATCGTATAGTACACTCTTAGTTATTAACATTAATTTTTTATGACAAAATAAAAGATTTAAAAAATAGTAATATTATATAAGTATAATATATTTAGTATTTGTTTGTATTTAGCATGTTATATTAAATGAATGAAACCGTCAATAAATTAAAAATATTTTATATTTATCATGAAGGATTGAGAAAATATTAAATAAAATATAATTTAGAGCTGTAGTTTTCAATAATTAGTGTGTCATCAAAAACATTCCAGTATTTTAATTTAATGTTTTAATTTCTATTATGTTTTATTTTCTACACAAGTTATCAAAGAATCCTTAATAATAAGTAATAATCTTTTATAGTATGAAACTATTTTAATTGAAATGTTTGATTAAGTAGGATCATAAATTATTTTATTTATATACAAAACAATATTTATTTTCTGTTTCCATCTACTATTTTTCTAATAGTTCTTTTTGAAAAATAATTTGCTCCTATGTCTACTGTAAAAAAAGAACTTTTTAAATGTTTTTTCTTAATTTTATATTCAGAAGCGTAGCAAGGGGTCTATTGGTTTTACTGTAGTGTGTGCTTATTTAAAACTTAATTTTTTTTCTGTCTGTAAACAAATTTTTGAACACAAATCTTGTTCTGTTGTTTCAAGTGTAGCGCCTTTTCTGAAAAGAAATTTTACCTAGTTGGTACATTCGAGAGGTTATTTTCAGATTTTTCAAGGGGTTCTCAAAAAATAATTGGGCAAAATTATAGGTAAAATAGTAAATATTTATGTTAAGCTGCTGCATTATTGATCTCATTGTTTTTAATTTTTACAAAATATTTTTTAGAAATCTTGCTTTAGTTAAAATAGTCTAGAGACCTTTTTTGTTACATTTAGAATCTAGATGCTCTTTTAGAATGTCGTTTTTCAATTTTTCTAAGTAGTTTTTATTAAAAAAAAACCCAAAGATGAAATATGAAAATTGTTAAATTTACAGCATTTTGATTAATTTATTTTATATTTCTACGCTTTATGTTTTCTACCAAAAATATTGCTCCAATAGAAAAACATCAAAGTACCTTTATCGTTACATTGTTTTATCTAATTAGTGTGAAAGAATGTCGGTTTTTGATTCTCCCTATAGTAAATATTTTTTCGAGACTTAAAATTTTGATAGAAAATGTATGTTTTTTTTTTTTTTAGAAAATATTTCATCCGATTTACAATTTGTGTTATAACATGTAAGTTTTCATTTGAAAAACTAAGGTTAATATAGCTATAGGATACTATTTAAATATTCATTAAAATATAAGTATGTGGTAACAATTTAAAATTATTTGAGTCATTTTTGAGCTATTTATGGACATTTTAATTTTGCAATTTTTTTACGTAATTTTTATTTGGTAGATTAAAAGTGTTAGACTAAACAGGAATGGTTTAAAATTTAACAGGAGGTTCATTTTAAGTCGAAATTTATGGAAAAAAAAGTAAAAAATTGAGTGTAATGTAGTAATTTTTTTTATAAGAGTTTTAATATAAAATTTTGATGAAAATCATAAATATTATGGCCTTATATAAAAATAACTACAAGGAAAATCAAAAAATTACTTTCTTATTCACTAAACAAATTAAAAATGTAACAAAAAAAGTTTTTTGTTGTTTTTCTATTGAAGCAATATATCTGTGTGGAAACTTAATTAGCAAAAATTAAAAATATTGAAATCGTTAATGTTGTGGCTCACCTAAAACCAAATATTTTACATATTATTTTGTTTCTAGATTTTTTCAATTATTTTGAAAACCCCATAGAAATCTAAAAACTGATATCAGAGGAAGATTTCTTTTTGAAAAGTTGTTTACAGACAAAAAAAAACATAGTAAAACTCAAATTTAAACCTTAAAAGTCTTGAAAAACAAGTGATTTCATTTGTCTTATCTTTGCATATACATGTATAGGGTGATTTTCTAAATATGTTCATCCCATTTTTATTGTTAAATTTCACATGTATTAAAATTCTAACTTTTGAGATTAATTTTAAGTCTCAATAAAGCTGATTTTTAGATTTTTCACAGCATTCATTCATAAGGAGTATCTTGTGGAAATATCAACTTTGGTTTTTCAAATGAGAAACTATGTAAACAAATTTTATAAATAGACTGAGTTTTAGTATAGATTATTAGTTAAAATAAATTTTGGTGTTGACAATTTTTATTTCTGTCAACCCATTGATAAGATATTTCATTTTAAAATTTGGACAGGGGAAATTTGTGAAACATTATGAAAAAGTTGCTCTTTGTGCTGTCACAACAATGATGCTTTTTAGATTGTTAACCTTTGTATTTCAGAGTAGAATAATTCAGAATATTTTTATTCAAATTTCGATTATAATACTTATTATATACGCTATAATTTTCAGAAAAATCATCCGATTTACAATTTGTGTTATAACATGTAAGTTTTCATTTGAAAAACTAAGGTTAATATAGCTATAGGATACTATTTAAATATTCATTAAAATATAAGTATTCGAAAATATCGATTTTATTTACACTTAAAATTTCAAGTATCAGAATTTGAATATATGGAAAATTAACGATAAAAAATCGGATAAGCATGTTAATGATTTACCCTATATATATACATACATGTCAATAAAATATTACTTTATCAATAGTGTGTACAATATTATGCATTGTCAATAAATAAACAATATTATTGTTATTCATTTTTAAACAAACTCTGTTTACAAGCAATAATTAGTACTATAATTTATATGCTATAAAAGTGATTGTACTATTAGGTTTTTCTTAAATGGTAAAATCAATATTATTATATTTTATTTATACTATTCATAGTTTACATAATTATTTTTAAGTTTATGTTTTATTTTTAAACTAGGTACTTTTTTTTCAAACTAATATTTTTGTTTCAACCAAATCAGTTCATTACAATAATTACATAAATTAAAAATGTTTATTCTAAAAATATTTGTTGTTTTGTTCATATATTCATAAATGTCCAATTAAATTTAATGTAATAAATTAAAATATTTAATTTTTTATTAAAACCCTTTTTTACCTAGGATCCAATTTCAAATTTATTACCACTGATGTATGCTCGATTATATTTGGTCAAAACATCAATTCAAGTTTATGAAAATATTTTTCAATTATTAGGTATTTGTGCTGTATATGAAATGTGAACAGTACTTTGATGACGAGATACCAGAAGGTACCAATTATTATAAAATAATATTATTTCTGGTTGCGCTAATTGTGTAAGGATTTTTTAAGTAGGTACCTTTTTGTTTATGCTATTTATTAATTAATAATACACGATTGTTGTGTACAATGTTCTTTATATCTATTAAAGTTTATGCTGCATTCAATAAGATTTGTGTTATTTGTTTATGTTTATGAGTTTAATAACTTCTTGGAGAAGTTTAAACTGTCTAAAGCAACTGCATCAACTTTAACAAATAAATATATAAAAGTAAAACAAAATACAAAATCCATCTAACATTTTTGTTTTTGTCTGCAAGGTTAGTAATGTTACACATGTGTGCAGTTTATATTTATTTATAAAAAAAATGAACAAGATATCGGGATAATAATAAACTGACAAAGTTTTTTTCTAGCCAAGACTTATAGAACTTCGCTGACATTTTTCAAACACATGTTTGCACTGTTGAGATAACAGCATTGTCTAAGAATGTCTCTTTGGGGTCTTTTTTTTTTATTATAGACTTTTACATCGCTGAAAGCTTTTAACTTTCAAAAGTTGTTTTGTATAACTATATATCCCATTGCTGCTGTAAATTTGTATTCAATACACGATTGCCTGTTAGATAAAATAATAAAATATGATAAAGTTTATCTACAAAATATTTTATTAGAATGAAAATAAATCTGTAGTATACTAAATAGATTTCATTAAATTTAATACAATTGAATAATCTAAAAACAAAATAAAATATGTTTGTTCATGATCTTAAAAGACATTGAATTTTCGCTATAGAGTGTATAGACATAGGTCTACTTCTTTTACAACTTGTTTTTCTATTCAAATTTTAGGGAGAATAGTGAAGCACCATTAGTGTGGTATGGCATGCAACATTAAATAGTGTTCCACTACTTTCTCCCTAGCTAAACTTAAAAGTGGAATATCTTGTTAATGGGTTGATGAAAATTTAATTTGATTTATACTAATATTCTATCAATAAATATGGAATTTTTAGTATAGGTTGCCATTCGATTATTAAAAAATAGGTAGTTGTTTCACCTCTAAAAATAAGGTTGACAAAAAATTATGGTAATGTAACATTTTAGACCCTTAGAGTCATTTGTTTCTTAAATTGTCAAAAAAATCAATACTCTAAAAAATAATGAGTGCTTTATTATGTTAAATGAATCACTGTGTATACATATTTTTTTCATTTAGTCCAATGACAATGATTTAAAAATAATTATAATAAACGTTATTAAGGAGTTTTTAGATTTTTTTGTATAAAAACTTTAAAAAGTTAATTAAAACGGTTGAAGATGAAAAGAAAAAAGAGCGAGAGAAAAGAGAAAAATGAGTGTACCATGTTTCATTTAATAACGTAATGGTTTATTGTTGCGTACAGATTTACCTAAATTAAATTAAATTAAATTTGTATGCAATAATTACCCTAACTTCTTACCTACAACAATAGCAAACCCATCAGTAGTATCAGCTCTCCTTTTTTTTTTTTTTTAGAAATTCTGTAACAGTGGGTTTAATGACAAATATGGCATATGTTTATGAAGTTGGCCCTCTAATTTTGGTTAATCGCATCTGGACAAGTTTTAAACAATTGTAAATTTAATTCCCAAATTTGTAAATAATCACCACGGCTGTTAAGTAAAAAATAAATCGGGAGGGCCAGTTCATGTAACTCGCCCATTTTGACCTATTGAGTCCAAATAAATTGTAAACAATTGTTTATTTATTGTAAATAATTGCAAATTCAATCTTCAAATTTATAAAATATCATAAAACTTAGAAATAAAAAAAGAAAGCTGGAAAGCCAATTTCATGTAGCCCTTTACTTTTGCCAATCAACATTGAGATATTCTAAATAATTTTAAATCAATTGTAAATGCAATTAATACATTTAAAAAAAATCATATAATTGCCTAGAAAAAAAACATAAAATATGGAGGAGATTGTAAATTCACATAGTCTTCCAAACTTTGGTCAATTAATTCTAGTCAAAAATATAATGGCTAGATTAGAATTATCGGAATAAGAATTAAGAATAATTAGACATTTTGAATTGAAAATGTTTTAATTATAAAACACCAAAATTATTGAATCTAATAAGTATTCAAAATAATAGATATAAACCATTAAAAAGTGAACAATTGGAAAAAAAAAAATGAATAATTGATGTAAACATTATTGTAACATGAGAAATTAAAATGAAAAGTTAATAATTCAAACTGATTGAACATTTTAAAAGTAAGAGAATATTATTTGAAAAAACTGAATAGTTAAAATTAAAACATTTAATTCTTCAATAAATTTATTAATTTTAATTTAATATTCTGTTTAACCAAGAGAAACTCAAAAGTCAATAAAAAAAAAAAAGGAATTGCGCATACTATGTCCAAAATGTACATAGTAGCCTTCCACTCTCCATCGTTCTTCTATGTTTAAAATATCAGATTTCTGCTAAAACTTAATTTAAAAAGCGAGGTTGCCAAATGATTTTAGAAAAACAACACTCCCAATTAATTTGTTATTTTTAAAATCTCTAATAATTTAGATATTTACGGGAGAAAACTGATCTTATCCCTACTGCAGTGCATATTATTTACAATTTCCCATTTTCAGTTATAATATGTTCATTTATAATAAAATAATATATAAAACCAAAATTGACCTATAATATAATATTTTATATAAAAATGTTAATCTAATAAACCTAACCGATTTTATCGAGTTACCTGTATTTATTTATTATAAATTCAGTACGGTGGTAAAAAAAAAAAGTTATATTCTCGTCGTACCATTAAATGTGCAAAAAACAATTTTGTTCGTTTCACTTTTTGAACAGGTAAAAATAAAAATTCAACATTTCAAATATTTTTTTTTAAGCCATCTTTTTAAACGAGTGGCATTTTTTTAATTTCTCATTTTTATACTCTGAAAATTGTGAACATAAATTCGCAGCCAGTCTGGCAACGTTTGAATGCCCAGTTGTACATCCACGAACTTGGTGCTTTCCTATTCTGAATAGAGTAATATATACTATAACGGTGTTCAGTGGCATAACTAGGACTATTTTGTGGGGGTGATATGAATATTAAAAAAAAAAAGAGCTATTACCGGGGATGTGAGCGGCCACAGTTGTCGGTGAGAAGTTGGGAAGGTAAGATACAAGGCTATTTCATTTATATCTGTAAGCAACGATAAACCATTGCTTGAAAAAAGACCATTTCGAGCGCAGTTCGGTAATATATAATTTTTGCGATTTTCGTTTAAATTTGATTTTAAAACGATTATTAAAAAAAAAAAGTCGTCCGATGATTTTGAAAATTTTACCACTTCTAGGTTAGTCTAATATAAATATTATTACTAAGTTTCAAGTCTCTACGTGTATTTATAACCGAATTACAGCAAAAAAACTACCAAAAATTAAAATTTCTTTAAAGCTCAAAAGTGGCTCAATAGTTTTGGCGATGATATAGTTAGAAAGTAAATCAAAAAGGTATCTTGTGATTTTTCGATTAAATCATTTTTTTTTTGGTAGAAAACGTCCATGTTTTTATAAAATAATGAAATCGTGAAATTGTATGTTTTCCTATGATTTTTTCTAGTTAAGTGTTTTTATTTAAAAAAAAAGCGTCGAAAATCAAAAAATAGCCTTTTTAAAGGACAATCTAGACAACTTGAGTATTCAGAAAAGTTGCTACACGTAAAAATTGGAGCAAATTTACTAGGAAAAAATGTATCCATAAACTAGAACAAATAAAAAAAGGAAGAAGAAAGAGAAGAAATAAACAACATTGTAAAACCAATAGCTTTCTTGCTACGCTCGGAATCTAAAGAATAGGTATTCCATAAATTATATTTAATTATATTTATAGTTATATTTATAATTATTACAATAATATTTCCAGTTTTTTTTTTTTTTTGTCAGTTCATCAATAATTTCCTCAACATTTAATTTAGTATGTCTATTAATTGACATCGAAGTCTAACCATTTTTTTTTTAACTCAGTTAATAATACATGCTTGTCGATCTCTGGTGAGTAAAATTCAATAAGCTTATTAAACTGACCAGTTTCTTCAAGAGTTAGTTTAGAAGTATTACTATACTATTAAAGAGGCATTAAAATCCTAAGAAAATTTAAATTATCTATCAAATTGATATAATCTATAAATTATAATTATATAGAATTTGTTACACAATCTACTTATAATTTACTTATTTTGTAATCGTAATACTATTATCTATAGAGAAAACCCGTGATCAAAAATGTATAGGATATTTACCCAATCAATTTTTATACTTTAAATTATAAAACAAGTAAAAAAAAAAAAAAGGGTCTGGGTGTGATTTATCACCTAAATTATCCTTCCTAGTTACGCCACTGGCTGTGTACTGTACATTATTTTAGGTCATGTCACGGTAGTGTACTAGTAGTATTATAATATAGATAATATATTATTATTATGATGGTATACTGATGTCAAAATGTGAAATTGGTTTTCAGACTTTCAGTATTAAGTTTTATTTGTACACGTGTTTCAAAACTACGAGTATTTAGAGAAGTGAGAAGTTAGGAATGTAGTAGGGGGGAAATTTAATGTATATCGATAAATCATTGCTAATAAAAAAACGATTCTGATCGGAGTTCAGTTGATAGTGTTGCTTTATGAACAATATATATATCATAATATGGTAAAATAATGACATAGGCATTAAACATTTTCTTTAATAGTATTTGTTTAATATTGTACCTATTTTACCGTTTTTTCTGGTTTTATCATTTATTAGGAAAACTCCTAGGGAAATCAAAAATGAACTCCCTAAAGTACCTCTCCAGTCTGATTTTCTTCCAGGAAAAGTGCTATCATTGAAAATCGGAGCAAAATTGCTGGTAGAAAAGTTGTCCACAGAAAAAAAAGACCGTAATATTTATTTTACCAATACATTTCGTACATTTGCCCATTTCCCGCTGTTTTTTCCGGTTTTTCTCATTTGTTTGGAAAAATGGCCTCTTCAAAGTATTCAGGTAGTTTGAGTATGGCGAGTGAAATGAAAACTAAGTTAAAATATGTTACAACATATTAAATCTTCTCATAGATCGGACAAATTCAAAACATTTCTTGTTCATAGTATTGTAAATACATCGTACAAATGGAAAAGTTAAAAGATA